GAGAGAGAGAAACATCAATGATGAGAAAGAATCATTGATTGGCTGCCTTCTGCACGTCCCCTACTGGGGGGGGATCAAGCCTGCAACCCAGGCAAATGCCCTTGGCCAGAATCGAACCCGGAACCTTCCAGTCCGCAGGCTGACGCTCTATCCACTGAGCCAAACCGGCTAGGGCCCTAGTGTTTCTTTTTTGGTTCTTAGAACTTCCTCTGCTTACATTGTCCATCTGTTCTTGCACGTTACCTATTTTCCCCCCTCCATCAGAGCCCGCGGCATATTAATCACAGCTGTTTTACATTCAAGATCTGTTCCTATCAACACCCTGCCAAGGATGAGTGTGGTTCTTCTGTCTCTTCAAACTGCATATGTTGCCTTTTGATATGCCTTCTAATTTCTTCTGTTGTTGTTGAAAGCAGAACATAATGTTCTGGGTAAAAGAAACAGCAGTAAGACAGCTTATGGAGACGTGGTGGTGAGGTGTGGAGGGAGGGGAGGCTCGCTCTGTTGTCCGAGGGTTAGGTCTCAGCCTTTTAGTGAGCCTGCGATCCTTGCCTATGAACTTCACAAGTGCCCGGAGGGGGCTGGAGTTGAGTTCTCCCCCTTTCCCCGAGGTTGCTGAGGCTCTGACAAAACCCTTATGCATTATTTTGCTCTGATGAAATAGTTTCTCTTGAGGGCAGGCTTTGTTAGAAAGAGCAGAATGCTCTGGCGTATTGCAAAAAACAAAAAAAAAACACGCCCCATTTTCTCCTCCGCTTGCTAGAAGCATGGGGGGTTGGTGGTAATTTTCTTCTCATCTTCCTTGTGAGCATCTGGTTGAGCCCCTGGAGGAAAAACGCACACACTTGAACCCCCCCTGGAATTTTTATCTCACACACAAGTGCACACTGGAGCCTCCGGAAATGCGTCAGTTACAGCTCAGGTTTTCCTGTCCTGGCAGTGGTTCCTGTGGGGGTTCCCACTTGTGGGAATCTGCTCTGGGAACAGTGGTTCTCTGTATTTGCCTGTCTGTCTTTCTAATCTGGGGAATAGGGGTTTGCCCTGTGACCTCACTTTTCATATGGATCATCAAAGAAGAGAGTTGTTGATTTTTTAGTTTTTTGGTCCCCCCCCTCCGCCCCCGCCCCCGCAGCTGGAATTCTCAAATACTGCAGGTGGGACTGGAAATTTTGGCAGTATCTACTAAAAAAAAAACCAGGCACTTATCCTATGACCTAGCAATTCTACTCGAAGTTACATATGCAAAAGAAAAGAATGCGCATGTCCATCAAGTATTCACAGTGGTTTTATTCATAACAACTAAAAACTGGAGGCAACTAGAATGTCTACAGCCAGGAAAGAGACATATAAATTGTGTTATATTCAGACAATGCAATACTATACAGCAATAACAAAGAATCAACTACTGATATGTGAAACAATATGGATCAATCTCATAGATATTATTTTGAGTAAAAGAACCCATACACCAAATTATATCTATCTATCTATCATCTATCTTTCAGAAGCCTGGTTTATAGATTCATGTACTGGTGGGGTCCCTCTTCCTGGCCTTCGGGGATCGGGCTGAAACTGGTTCTCTGACATCCCTTGAGGGGTCCCCGATTGCGAGACCCCTCCTGCTGGCCCTGCCCCCAGGACGTGGATGCCCACTGGCTCCCTCCTCCCTCCTCTCTGGGTCCGGGGTGCCAGTGAATCAGATTCAGGGCCGACAGTGCCCCAGCAGCAACCTAACCCACGCTGATCCCACAAGGAATATGGCTCCCTCCTCTACTGGTAGGAGTGTCTGCCCCATTCATATATAGTTCAAGAACAAGTAATACTAACTGATGCTAAAGACATGAGTATAGCTCATACTACATCTGGGGCTAAGTGGTTATTGCCTGGGAAGAAGCATAAAGAAACCTCTGGATGACAGAACTGTTCTACATGTTAGCCTGGATGGTGGCTGTACTAAGGTCTATCGAGCAGACACTATATGCTTTGCGCCCTGTGCACACGTGGCAGAAAAAAGAGACATGCTTACATTCTAGGGAAGAAGACATGAGGCACTAATTTCAGTGACGTGTGTTGGGTAACAAGTTGGTAGAGGAGATAATGGTGGCTCTAGGCACAGGGAACAGAGAGAACTCAATTATTGTGGGGATGAGGGGGACATTTCCTGGAGGGAGAGATGGCATAACTGAGAGCCATTAGGCATTAGGCAGGGATAAGAAGATTGGGAGGCAGAGAACATTCTAGGTATTGGGAACAATATAAGCAAAGGCCTGAAGGTGAGAGAGGGAGGCACGTGCAAATAATTACAAGTTTTGAGTGCAGGGGAAAAGATAGTGACGGAGAGGCAAAGTGATGGTGGCCTCAGCAGCGGCCGGCTTTTTTTTTTGGTGACTAAATGAGATGTTAAAAGAGCTTTGGCACCCTAGCCGGTTTGGCTCGGTGGATAGAGCATTGGCCTGTGGACTGAAAGGTTCCAGGTTCGATTCCGGTCAAGGGCATGTACCTTGGTTGCGGGCACATCCCCAGTAGGGGGTGTGCACAGGCAGCTGATCAATGTTTCTAACTCTCTATCTCTCTCCCTTCCTCTCTGTAAAAAATCAATAAAATATATTAAAAAAAAAGAGCTTTGGCTTTTCTGAGGGCATTGGGAAGCCCACGCATAGTTTTAGGTAGGAAAGAGTCCAAGTCACATTTTAAGAAATGAGTCTGGGGTCCTAGCCGGTTTGGCTCAGTGGATAGAGCATGGGCCTGTGGACTGAAGGGTCCCCGGTTCGATTCCAGTCAAGGGCACATGCCCAGGTTGCAGGCTCCATCCCCAGTAGAGGGCGTGCAAGAGGCAGCCGATCCATGATTCTCTCTCATCATTGATGTTTCCGTCTCTCCTTTTCCCTTCCTCTCAGAAATCAATAAAAATATATTAAAAGAAAAAGAAATGAGTCGGAGAAGCTGAGCAGTTGAAGCCCTGCAGGTGGTCCAGGTGAGAGAAGATGGGGCCCGGATAGTGGCGAGTGGAAATGAAGATGATGTGATGGTAGAATGTGCTGGGTGGGGAAGACGGGAGAGTCTGGCAGGAGCTGGCTGCATTTGGGCCCTTTTGGGAAGTAATGTGGTTCCACACGCTGGAGGAGGCCAGGGACCTGGGGTATGCGGTTTGATTTTTCCCCTCTGAATTTCCAGTGTCATTTCGTTGCTTCTCGCTGCCTCCTAGAAGGAGCCTTGCTCCTAAAGGGAGAACCTTTCAGTTAAATTTGCTGGTCTCTTTCGTGGGTGGAGGTGGGGGAGTGGGGTTGGAAAGGAGGGAGACTTTGTTGAAGGCATTGAGCCCCCACCACTTCCTCCTTCCCTCCACTCCCCAAGCAGGCTATTTTCCTGTTTCCTTGTGCATTTAAAAGGACAGAGGGATTTAATGACCTCCATTAGCAAAGATGCTTGGGGGGTGGGGCCCTGGGAGGGTTCTTCTTCACCAGAATTTGAGTCCTGTCCTCTGATGACATGTCTTAGTTGGGAGATGGTGAATGGGGACCCAAGAGGGACCCAAGAGAGATGACTACCATCATCAGCTGCTTAAATTGATTTACATGCATAAGGAAAATTCTCGGAAACTCGAGCAATAGGAAGTTTAACATCCATGGGTCTGCCAATGCGGAAAGCCTGGGCTCCTGGTGGGTCCCTTTCGCAGGCACTCCGCCCGGCATCAGCAGGGGATTTAGCAGCGGAGAGCTGCCTGCCCACAGCGCGGTCCGTTAAGGCTCCTGCCGGGAAGAAAGCGGGTTAGAATCTGATCCCGCAGAACAGGAGACCCAGGAGCCTC